TCACAAACTTGCTCTCAGTGTCGAAGAATTTTTAAAAAGATGATTTTTGTCTTTTGAAATGATAGAGAATCTTTTCCCTATGGTAATGACACCAAAAGTACGAATTTGATGGAAAACTTATGGAATTATGCCTTCACGAAGTTATCGGTCTTGGCGATATTTAGGCAACGGCAATTTTGCCCACTTTAAGCCCTATTTTTGGCCAAATTCCATTGTTCTAGGCCACCAAACTCATAGCTGTTTCACAAGAACTCCTTTTGTTCTATCAATTGGGTACAAGAAACTGCCCATTTACCGATTTCAACTACTCAATAAAGTGATCAGAAATTGGTAATTTGGCCAATTTCATAGACAATTCAAGGAAGGCCAGTTTTAAAATAGGGTCAAGAATTAACAATACAGACATTCCTGGCACTAAAATAACATTTTCTCTGTTCATTAGTCACATCTCCAGGCCCGCTTGCTTTCCATTTTGAATTTTTATTCGCACAAAAAATAGAAGATTTACTGTTATGCAGACTACTGCATTATTGTAAATATGATATAAACAATATCAGTGCATTTGTGAAAGTATATTAGATCCACTAGTTGACAAGTATTGGATGTGTGACATGATTTGTTTATTCTTGAACACTGGCAAAAATCAAATATTTCTGCTAATTTGATCTCAATTTCAAGGTACTTTTAGTCCGTAAACCATTCAAAATCATATCCAGTTTTGTAATATGTCTTCCGTTCTATCAAATGACACCAAGAAAACAAGAATATAACTATAACTACCATACAACAATACACCACAAATTTGCTATTTTAACCTTTAAACTGTCCAAACATAGATCTGCATTCACGCGTGTAGTGCTCCAAAAGTAGGTCTACGTTTTTTTACATATTTTAATTTTTTTTTTTCAACAAACCGGTCGTATCCCGGCAAGGCAGGGCGGCCCAAAAAGAAAACCTAAAGTTTCTCTTTTTAACCCTTTGACTGTTTCAGGGCCCTCTCTGAAACTGTCATTCTATGTCGCCAAATATTCAAAAAAAAAAAAATTATTTTTTCTTATGAAAATGTTAAGATTATTTTTCTGAGTGTTTTAGTCCAAAAAAAAAATTTTTGCCATCAGTACTTACCGAGATATAGAGCCGTGAAGTTTGCAGAAAATGAGCCGCGTATGGCAACAGCGGCGACTGCCGCTCACCCGGTAAACTTTAGTTTACTTGTATTTGAAGGTTTGTTGTTTTTTTCACTATTTTATTTTTTCACATAACTTATGTGGCCTATGAGACCAAAGTAAAGGTGCAATGTATATATTACACTCGTTGTATACAACACAATAAGCACACAAAACATAATTATCAATATATTGTTTACAAAACTTGTTTACACAAACAAACAAACAAACAAACAAAACAATTCTTCTTCTTCTTCTTCTTCTTCTTCTCTTCTTCTCCCCTTCTCCCTCCTTCTTCTCCTCCTTCTTCTCCTCTCTTCTCCTCCTTCTTCTCCTCCTTCTTCTCCTCCTTCTTCTCCTCCTCTTCCTCCTCCTCCTCCTCCTTCTCCTCCTCCTCCTCCTCCTTCTCCTCCTCTCCTCCTCCTTCCTCTCCTCTTCTCCTCTCTTCTCTCTCCTTCCCTCCTCTCCTTTCCTCCTCCTCTCCTCTCCTTCTCCTCCTCCTTCTCCTCCTCCTCTCCTCCTCCTCCTTCTCTCCTCCTCCTTCTCCTCCACCTCCTTCTCTCCTCCTCCTCCTTCTTCTCTCCTCCTCCTCCTTCCTCCTCCTCTCCACCTCCTTTCTCTCCTCCTCTCCTTCTCCTCCTTCCACTCCTTCTCCTCCTCCTCCTCCTTCTCCTCCTCCTTCTCCTCCTCCTCCTTCTCCTCCTCCTTCTCCTCCTCCTCCCCTCCTCCTCCCCTCCTCTCCCCTCTCCTCCTTCTCCTCCTCCTCCTCCTTCTCCTCCTCCTCCTCCTCCTCCTCCTTCTCCTCCTCCTCCTTCTCCTCCTCCTCCTTCTCCTCCTCCTCCTTCTCCTCCTCCTCCTCCTCTCCTTCTCCTCCTCTCTTCTCCTCCTCCCTTCTCCTCCTCCTCCTTCTCCTCCTCCTCCTTGTCTTGTGTGCGAGTGTGTGGCTTATAATTGTTTTGAGTCAGAAGTCGGAGCTGTCAAAGTGACATATTGTCTCATTAGTCACTACCCCTACCCCTGTCAAAACAATGGGGTCGGATGCTGCTTCCCCTCCTCCATTCTATCTAATTATCTTCTCCCTCATTCTATATCTTTCAATCTGTCTCTCTTTCTGTCTGCCTATCTCTGTCTCACAGGTACACATAAATACAAGTATACATAGTGTAAATTACCTAGGATAACCCAAGAAATCCAGACAAAGTGCTATACTCTGCTTGAAGATGTGAGTAAACGTGATGACACAGTCTTGTGGCTCTCTCTGAGACAGAGAGCTAGATGGACAGACAGGGAGCTTGACAGACAGACAAATAGACAGACAGAAATGTTTGTGTACCAGCAAAAACAAAGGGAGGCGATGGTCATGTAATATTACCCTCCTTTACGCTCATCAAAGTCAGCTCTTATCAGATGTTATCTCCCCTTATCTTGTCACTGTCATGGGGTGGACTTTTTTTTTTTCTTGCTTCAAGGGAACAATATTATTACATCTTCTTCTTCTTCCTCCTCCTCCTCTTCTCCTCCTCCTCTTCCTCCTCCTCCTCCTCTTCTCCTCCTCTCCTCCCCTCCTCCTCCTCTTCCTTCCCTCCCCTCCTCCTCTTCCTCCTCCTCCTCCTCTTCTCCTCCTCCTCCTCCTCCTCCTCCTCCTCCTCCTCCTCTTCCTTCCCTCCTCCTCCTCCTCCTCCTCCTCCTCTTCCTCCCCTCCTCCTCCTCCATTGCTTTTGGTCTCAAACTCCTCCAAATCATGAAATTGATCTTCACTGACACTTCCATCTGTGTTAGAGCATCACTTGGGAAGAGAAGAGTCCCAGATTTGCTGGGGAATCACATAATTCTTACCACTAGACATGCTGAAAAATGACAACTGAAATGGCATTCCCACAATGCACCACTGGCTCCCCGATTTTTTTTATATGGTGCACACTGACCATGGAGACCCATTCTCTCACATGTGGGCCTAGCAGCTTTCTCCTGCTTGATTTGAAGCTGCTAGAATTTATGCGTATAAATACGTCAGAAACATTGGCTCGTAAGACGTATTTATACGTCGGAAACAGTCAAAGGGTTAAATTTAGTAATTTATACAAGAGAAGGGGTTACTATCCCCTTGCTCCTGGCAGTTTAGTTGCCTTTTACAACACGCATGGCTTACGGAGGAAGAATTCTGTTCCACTTCCCCATGGAGATAAGAGGAAATAAACAAGAACAAGAACTAGAAAGAAAATAACAGAAAACCCAGAGGGGTGTGTATATACAGTGGACCCCCGGTTTACGATATTATTTCATTCCAGAAGTATGTTCAGGTGCCAGTACTGACCGAATTTGTTCCCATAAGGAATATTGTGAATTAGATTAGTCCATTTCAGACCCCCAAACATACACATACAAACGCACTTACATAAATACACTTACATAATTGGTCACATTGGGAGCTGATCGTAAACCGGGGGTCCACTGTATATGCTTGTATATGTATGCGTAGTGTGACCTGAGTGTAAGTAGAAGTAGCAAGACGTACCTGAAATCTTGCATGTTTATGAGACAGAAGAAAAGACACCAGCAATCCTGCCATCATGTAAAACAATTACAGGCTTTCGTTTTACACTCACTTGGCAGAACGGTAGTACCTCCCTGGGCAGCGGTTGCTGTTTACCAACCTACTACCTAAAATATTTTCAAATATAAAAAAAAAAAGTAGATCAAAGTTTTTTACACGCTTTCAAGTGTAAAAAAAAAAAGAAGATCTATGTTTTTTACATACTTTCAAATGTTGAAAAAACATAGATCTATGTTTGGACATAGATCCTGCAGCACTGCGTGCTGCAGGATTTTTTTTATGCTGTACGCCCTGACCACTTAGACCCATTCTCTCATATATAGGTACCAGCTTTCTCCCACAAGATTGGAAGCCGCTAGAATTTTGGTGTACTATTACGGGACCGACACTGGCTTGCAAGAGCTGTAATATTACAGGACCGACAGTGACAGGGTTAATTAATGCTAGCTTTTTACCCAAACTCTTTAAATTGTGCACAAAAATTAGATATACTACTGTAATTCGAATAGTGTGAATTTGAATAATGTGACCACTTCACAGAATTCATTATTAAATCAAATGTTAAGTCTCTCCCAAAATACTTTCTTTTTAATATTTTTTGTTGTAAATTACCTTTGTAACACAGTGATACCCCAAGTTTTGAACTGCTCCCAACTTGTACAATTATGTAAGTGTATTTGTGTAAGTGCTTTTGTAAGTGTATTTTTGGAGGTCTGAAACGGACTGATCTAATTTACAGTATTCCTTATGGGAACAGATTTGTTCAGTATTGGCACTCGAACAGTCTTCTGGAATGAAATAAGTTCAAAACTCGGGGTACCACTGTATTTTTAAAATAAAGGGAGTTTTGACATTTTAAGTTTGAATTTTAATAGGTTTTTGTTCCCAAACTTAACTTTGAAAAATAACCACATTATGGGTGGAGTTTGAACCCATGGTAAGTAAGTTGTGAATCTTGACTTTGATTTTAGAATAAAATGTATTTAAGATTTATTTTGCTTTGATTAATGTTAATATTTCCAAGTTTTTCACACATTTTCATGAACTAGATCTAATATAGAAATGAAGTTAACATCTGATCAGATTTATTAGATAAAATTAATACCTTCTTCAGTGTGCTCACCTAACTATGTATGCAAAGGTCAAGTTATATCTCCAACTTTTATCTCTTAACACTACTTGTAAGTGAGTGTGGTAAGTAAAATACTTGTAAGTGAGTGTGGTAAGTAAAACACTTGTGAGTGTGGTAAGTAAAAAACATGTATCTTTTTTTTCAACAGATCTTTATCAGGAGGTGTAATTTTGGCAGTTGAAGTAATAGTGGGATTACGCAGTGATGATATTGTAGATGTGGGAATGGCAGCACAAGATGCATTGCTGGCAGTTACTGAAGCACTGGAGATGAGGAGTCAACACACACACTCACAACAAGGCTTGCTGGAACTGCTGGAAGAACGTGTATATGCTCTCTCAACACAACTACCAACAATCTGCAGGCAGCAAGGTAAAGAATTTGCTTTTCTAGAGTCAAATTCCACATACAGTGGTACCCCGAGTTTCGGCCATAATTCGTTCCAGAAGGCTGTTCGAGTGCCGTTACCAAATGAATTTGTTCCCGAAAGGAATAATGTAAATTAGATTAGTCCATTTCAGGCCCCCAAAAATACACTTGGAAAAGCACTTACAGTGGAACCTCAAAAATCGAACTGCTTCCAACTCGACCAATTATGTAAGTGTATTTTTGTAAGTGCTTTTATAAATGTATTTTTGAGGGTCTGAAATGGACTAATCTAATTTATATTATTCCTGATGGGAATAAATTCGTTCGCAAGCGACACTTGAACACCTTCTGGCCCAAAGAAAGTTTATATTTGGGGTTTCCCACTGTAAAATATACACTTACAAAATTTTTTGAGTTGGGAGGTGTATAAAACCGGGGGTCCCACTGTATGTTAAGAAGGACAGGTCGGTAGACCAGGAAGTACACCCTCCTGTTATGTCATTATTACTTCTCAACAAAAACTCCTTAGTGCCAAAACACCTCTATGGGGGGTGTATAAAAAAAAATTGGGGAAATTAGCTGTCAGGTACTCGCCCCTAATTCATTTCCCATATTTAACCCTTGAAGATACACTTCCCCCAACTGCCACACTCACAATTGCAAAAAATGATAGGATGGTAATGAGAAACTTCAAAAAAAGGTGCCGAGCCCCTTGATGACCTTTACAAATTACTTGTCTCCTTGGCGGAATATTGCTGAAAACATTAACATCCCCATCAAAGCAGGTGAAATTGCAGATCTAGAGAATGTCAGAGAACCTTTACTACATGTAAGCTCCATCAAAAAACCTTTAACTACGGAAATGCTTGGAAGCCTTGACTTTACTCGCTGGAAGGGAGAGAGGAAACGTAAAAATAAAAATCGCACTTGGAAAATCCAAGAAGGAATAGCCCCTGAATCTGCACACAGAAATAACTCCCTATAAAAGTAAAAGCGGGGCAGGAGGTGTGAAATACCCCCAATGGTACACTAAGGAAAACAAAAAAAGTGTCGGGGCCCCCAAACTGTAAAACAGCCCCCACCATGCATAAGGGGAATTACCAATAGACTCCTGGCTGCCTTCAAGAGGGAGCTGGACGATACTTAAAGTCTTTTTCAGGTCAGCCGGGCTGTGGGTTTGTAGTTTTGGGAAAGTCCGCCAGCAGTACGCCTGGGTTTAAAACAGGCCCTGAGCCATGGGAGGCCTGGTCATGGACTGGGCCATGGGGGCTTGATCCCCGGGAAAACCTCCGGTAGACCCAGGAAGTAATCTCTGGGGAAAATCTTCGTCTTGAACCTATTATGCTGTATTTGGTGAGACAAATATTAAAAAATACAAATATGCAAAAGAAGAGTGGGTAGATGTTATCAAAAATTTTGTTGAAAATAAGAAAAAGTTTTGGAGTGAGATTAACAAGTTAAGAAAGCCTAGAGAACAAATGGGATTTGTCAGTTAAAAATAGGAGAGGAGAGTTATTAAATGGAGAGTTAGAGGTATGGGAAGATGGAAGGAAATTTTGAGGAATTTTTTAAAGTTGAGGGAAGATAGGGAAGCTGTGATTTCGTGTATAGGAAAAGGAGGAATAACATCTTGTAGGAGTGAGGAAAGGCCAGTTGTGAGTGTGGGGGAAGTTCTGAGGCAGATAGGTAAAATGAAAGGGGGTAAGGAAACCCGGGGATTGATGGAAAAAAGATAGAAATGTTAAAAGCAGGTGGGGATATAGTTTTGGAGTGGTTGGTCCCAATTATTTAATAAAGTATGGAAGAGGGTAAGGTCCCTGGGGATTGGCGAGAGCATGCATAGTTCCTTTGTATAAAGGCAAAGGGGATAAAAGAGAGTGCAAAAATTATAGGGGGATAAGTCTGTTGAGTGTTACCGGGGTAAATGTATGGTAGAGTTATAATGAAAGAATTAAGAGTAAGACGGAGAATAGGATAGCAGATGAACAAGGAAGGCTTTAGGAAAGGTAGGGGGGTGTGTGGACCAGGTGTTTACAGTGAAAACATATAAGTGAACAGTATTTAGATAAGGCTAAAGAGGTCTTTGTGGCATTTATGGATTTGGAAAAAAAGGGGTATGAAAAGGGGGATAGGGGGCAATGTGGGAGATGTTTGCAAGTGTATGGTGTAGGAGGTAGGTTACTGAAAGCATGGAAGAGTTTTTTACGAGGATAGTGAGGCTCAAGTTAGAGTATGTAGGAAAGAGGGAAATTTTTTCCCAAATAAAAGTAAAGGCCTTAGACAAGGATGTGTGATGTCACCGTGGTTTTTTTTAATATATTTATAGATAGGGTTTGTAAGAGAAGTAAATGCGAGGGTCTTGGCAAGAGGCGTGGAGTTAAAAAAAATAAAGAATCACACACAAAGTGGGAGTTGTCACAGCTGCTCTTTGCTGATGACACTGTGCTCTTGGGAGATTCTGAAGAGAAGTTGCAGAGATTGGTGGATGAATTTGGTAGGGTGTGCAAAAGAAGAAAATTAAAGGTGAATACAGGAAAGAGTAAGGTTATGAGGATAACAAAAAGATTAGGTGATGAAAGATTGAATATCAGATTGGAGGGAGAGAGTATGGAGGAGGTGAACGTATTCAGATATTTGGGAGTGGACGTGTCAGCGGATGGGTCTATGAAAGATGAGGTGAATCATAGAATTGATGAGGGAAAAAGAGTGAGTGGTGCACTTAGGAGTCTGTGGAGACAAAGAACTTTGTCCTTGGAGGCAAAGAGGGGAATGTATGAGAGTATAGTTTTACCAACGTCTTATATGGGTGTGAAGCGTGGGTGATGAATGTTGCAGCGAGGAGAAGGCTGGAGGCAGTGGAGATGTCATGTCTGAGGGCAATGTGTGGTGTGAATATAATGCAGAGAATTCGTAGTTTGGAAGTTAGGAGGAGGTGCGGGATTACCAAAAACTGTTGTCCAGAGGGCTGAGGAAGGGTTGTTGAGGTGGTTCGGACATGTAGAGAGAATGGAGCGAAACAGAATGACTTCAAGAGTGTATCAGTCTGTAGTGGAAGGAAGGCGGGGTAGGGGTCGGCCTAGGAAGGGTTGGAGGGAGGGGGTAAAGGAGGTTTTGTGTGCGAGGGGCTTGGACTTCCAGCAGGCATGCGTGAGCGTGTTTGATAGGAGTGAATGGAGACAAATGGTTTTTAATACTTGACGTGCTGTTGGAGTGTGAGCAAAGTAACATTTATGAAGGGATTCAGGGAAACCGGCAGGCCGGACTTGAGTCCTGGAGATGGGAAGTACAGTGCCTGCACTCTGAAGGAGGGGTGTTAATGTTGCAGTTTAAAAACTGTAGTGTAAAGCACCCTTCTGGCAAGACAGTGATGGAGTGAATGATGGTGAAAGTTTTTCTTTTTCGGGCCACCCTGCCTTGGTGGGAATCGGCCGGTGTGATAATAAAAAATAAATAATCGTTCTAGTGAAAATTTGTTGCTGATATTGTTGATATAAAGCAACAGTCATTGAAGTGAGTGTAAGGTGCACCACTGTTCAGTTTCCTTACACCTGCTGTCCTTGTTCACCTAGCAGTAAGGGTGTTAGCCAACTGGTGTGGATTGCATCCTGGGGGGGGCTGGACTTTGAAATGAGCTGAGGTAGGATAGTAGCTCTTAGCTGGTTAAAAAAGAAGACCTCTCTAGGGTTAATATTGCTGGTTTGAAATTAGCCAACTCCACTGATGTAGCAACAACAACAAGGCATCACGATTCTTGGATGTTTCAGGAGTTACTCGTCCTCAGTTGATTTTCTTCACTTCTAGCCTGTTTGGAAATCCACTTCACTTGATTTTACTTCACCTGCTGATGACCCCTATAATGTGATATTTATACAGGACTTGATCTTACATTGGCATTGTCAGAATGTCAGCCTATACTGACTGGGCCAATAAACAAAATCCAGTGTGTCAGTGTTCAAACCTTTCTAAACTCGCCTTTCTATTACAACTACTCAGTTATATCTTATTTGAGGTAATATACCTCTTCATGGGAATTTCTGCAATAGTCTTCCTATTTCAGAAACTAAATACATTATGGTGCAACCTGTTCCATTATGTGTCCATCACTGTAAACATCTTGCAAGTTGCTGCAATTATTTGCCCCATCAGCCATTTCCTACCAAGGTAGGGTGACCCAAAGAAGGAAACATTCTCCATCATTCACTCAGTAGCAAAATGTCTGGTTAATAAAAGGCTTAGGTGATGCTTAAGAGACCTAAACTTAATTGACCATTCCACCATAAACCCTGTACTCCATCTTGGTACATGTAGTATTTATGTAACATTTAGAGAGCCAGAATTATTTGATCATTCCACCATAGATCCTTTACTCTATCTTTATACATGCAGTACTTTTGTAATACTTTTTGCTGAATGCTAACTTATGTTAATTTTTTTACGTAGAGAAAGTCTGAACACAATCTGGTGACATGTCTTAACCCTTAAACTGTCCAAATATAGATCTATGTTCACTCGCGTAGTGCTCCGAATGTAGATCTACATTTTTTACATAAGAAAGCATGTAAAATCGAACGTAGATCTACGTTCAGAGTGCTACGTGAGTGAATGTAGATCTATGTTTGGACAGTTTGAAGGTTAAGTATTTTGCTCTACTATAACTTTTTCTATAAATTTTTTTAGCTCTTTGAGGGTCCAACCCATAGTTCTACACCTTGTACACAGAGTCCAAGAAAATTTTTGTTGTTATTTTTTCTTATGAAATGGTAGAGAATTTTCTTCTGATGGTAATAAAACAAAAAGTATGAAATTTGATGGAAAACTGATGAAATTACACTATTGCGAATTTTACTATGCCAGTGATATTTACGCATCGGCAATTTTGCCCACTTTGATAACTATTTTAGGCCAATTACATTATTCCAGTTGACCAAATTCTTAGTGGTTTTGCTAGTATTACTTCTACTTTATCGACTGAGCACAAGAAACTGCCCAATTGACTGTTTAAA